GCAGACACTCAATCACTGAGCCACCCAGGCATCCCTAATCTTCATTTTTCAAATGAAGTTAACTGAGGCTTAGAAATATTAAGTGATTGTCCATAGTTATGCAATCAAGAGAGGCAGAGTCAGGGTTTGAACTTAGATTCATTCTAAGCCAAAGCCTTCGTGTGTTGCTTCTGTATTGTATTGTCTCTTGTATGACCTATTTGCATTGCAGGAAATTGCATTTCAGGAGATCCCTTTGGTGACAGTATGGTTAGGAAGGGAGAAAAGCTGGAGGAAGGAAAACCATTAAAAGGTCATTTTTGGAAATCTTGGTTGAAGATGAGAAAGGCTTAAACTGAGACAATCACTGTAGAACTGCAGTCGAAGTGACAGATGTGACCTATTTTGAGGACAAGACCATCAAACCACAAATTGGATATGGATGGTGATGGAAGAGGAGCTGTCGAGAGTAAGTCTCAAGTTTTCTTGTGATTGTAGGAAGATAATACAACAGGATGGTTAGGATTAAGGCCAAAGCCAATAATATCTGGCTTAACTCATCAAAGTGGAAATGTCCAGTCAGCAGTTGGGTATTTGGCTTTGGAGCTCAGGAGGGAATCCTGAACTGGAGATAGAAGTGAGACATACAAGAAATTTATTGGGGTAATGCCTATGAAAGATAAAAGAGGAGGGAGCAGTAGTCAGCAGGGAAAGTCTTCAGACCATAGTGTGATGCGATCTGACAGGTATAAGAGGAGAGAGGGAAAGGAGGAGGATAAATAGAAAGAGCCTCAAATTGTAGTCTGGGAAAGTTTTGGCCAGGCCCATGGGGAGTTCCTCACAAGGAGGAACTTCAAGGAGTCCTGTAGGGAGCAGAATTGGCCCAACTCTCGTACCCTACTATGTTCAGTCACTGTCAGATAGGGAGGATGGGTACTGACCATGGCTTCAGGGTTGTAGACAAAAAGGCATGGCAGCTGGAAACTGTGATCTATACAGAGCCCTTCTGCTTTAGCAGGTCTCCCTTCCTGCTGTGGAACCCGCTGGGAGCTAGCTCCCACCCCTTTCCAGCCTGCCTTTCACCCCACCCTTCTCCATGTCCCCCATTACTCATCGGCTCAGAGATGCCAAAGTTGCCAATGAGGCTGGAGGGGGGGGGGCCCTAAGTGTGCTCTCAGGATCAATTAACTGCACCTTCTGTTCCATCGCCTCAGTGGGAGCAGTTCTGAGTTCATTACAAGTTCTGGTTTGGGAACACAACCCTTTTGCCAGCAGCATCTATGGACTGTTTTTGTCACCCTGTTAGAGGTATGTAAGAGTTACTTAATATCTAAGTAATCAGTTTTCGTTTGGAGTATAACAAAACCTGTGGAATTCTACTGGATTCAGCCTCATTTTCCTGTCCGTAACAATTTCCCATACATGCCTAAAAATAAAGAAGTCAAATTTATAAGACTCATCCTTTTCCATGAGACAAACTTTGTTTTCTGTCTCTTGAATGGAACTAAATTTAGCAATTTGCTTTTAACATAACAATCTAAACCTAACAGTGTAGAGTGTTCTGTTGGAAGTGAGAGGGAGGCATCCTTTGGGGTTCCTGCGATGGGAATTGCACTGAGGACTGTTCCAAGCTTTTGCTTTTTTGTTTTTTTCCTTAAACATGTATTAACTAATCTAATTTTCATAATAGTCTTTTTTTTTGAGAGAGAGAGAGCGAGTGCATGTGCACGTGTGCCTGGAGGAGGGTGGGCACAGAGAATCTTAAGCAGGCTTCATGCCCAGCATGGAGCCCCCTGTGGGGCTTGATTTCACAACCCTGTGATCATGACCTGAGCTGAAATCAAGAGTCAGACACTTAACCAACTGAGCCACCCAGGTGCCCCTTTACGATTGTCTTTTGAGGAACTATTACCTCTGTTTTACAGTGGAAGAAATTTATTTTTTTATTTTTATTTTTATTTTTTAAGAAATTTAGATATAGAGAGGTTGACTTGCCCAAAAGCTTACAGTTACTGGTAAGCAGTAGTTCAGGTATTCTGGCTCGAGTGGGGGCTCTGAACCAGGTGTTATATCCTGCCTCACTATTGCTTAGTTGTGCAATGACCATGACTGTGCCTAGAGGGTACTGTGTTCTGGACTGGACATGAGGATGTGACCTAGTGATTCCCCACTGAGAGATGTTTGTAGAAGTAGATTGGTGAAGTCAAGTGGTGTTTGAACTTTTTCTTATGAAATATTCAAACTAAATCTTGAATGAAAACCCAACATGAAAAACGGATGAAAGTGGACTGCTTTGGTTGAATTAGGGGGACAAAGGAGGAAGAGCATTCACTCAGGCTCCATTCACTCAGGCTTCCTCAGAAGTCTTCTTTATGAGACTTCAAGGGCTTTGAGAAGCATGGTTTCAACATTAAGTGAACCAAAAAGAGCACAGGACCTGAAATCAGGAGACCTGGGCTCAAATCTAAATAAATCCATCCATTTTTAGGAGATTTGGTTTTCCCAGCAGTGAAATGGAGACCATTCCTGTATCACCTTGCTGTTGAGGAGTACGTGAGATGAGGTTCATAAGAGCACTTTGAAGTCGTGTAGCTATATAGTTTGTTTCTACAGAACCCTGATTTGAAACGGAGAGGCCCAAATGGCAATGAGGCATGAAATAGTTTCTGTGTGTCTTGGGCAGCCTTCAGCATTCTGAGAAGGACTGGGAAGGAGTCAGGAAAACTGGGTAGAGTCTTTGAAATGACCACCAAATTCCAACTAAGAAGTTTTGTTTTAGTGATCTCTCAATAGAACATAACAGATGAATAAGGAACCAATGTCTATCTGGTTTGCTACTGTGCGTCCAAGCACATAATAGGTATTCAATAAAAACTTGCTAAAGGAATTAGGAAGGAAAGTTATAGGGAAAATTTAGTGAGCCACTGAACCAAATATATTTTGCTAGGGCATGTGGCTCTGCCGTACAGTGGGGATCCAAATGTGGTTCTCTGAGAGGAAGTGTCACACCAGGTACAGTGGGGGTGGCACAGGCACAGGTGTTGGTAACTTTAGTTCATATACTAGAGTTTCATTTTGGACTTTATTAAATGTCAAACTCCTCAAATTCACAGGCAAAACAAGTATACATTTATGAGAGTTCTTGATCTAACTTTGAAGGTGTCTTTAAATTTCATTCCATTGATTAAAAAATCAGGGCTGTCAGGTCTCAGCTATAAATGTACTAACAACTTGTACTAAGATGTTTTAAAATGATGTGCAAGTTTTCTTTGGGACTTAGATGTAACTCACACATCTGTAGCGTCTAGAGAAAGGGTCAATAGTGCCAAATTGTATCCCTTTCACAGCAGCCATTCTAGAGTTCTTTTCCTAAGTTGGATAGTATATCAGGCTCCTGTGCTTAAAGGCTCCAGGAGGCAAGTGCTAGGCCCCAACCTAGTCCTCCCTTGGTAGGCAGTCAGGCTGGTAGCCACCTCTATCTTTAGAAACATTTGAGAAACATTTAATATCACTTTAACTCCCAACAGGGGGTGAGTGCTACTTCTTGTTCTCTTTCTACACTCCCACAAATTGGTGGTACACTGTATTTATACTGGAGTATTTATACTACTTTAAGAAGGGACTAAGTTCATTCTTTTAAGGTGAAAAATTACATGTGGTGGGTTAATAAACTGTTTTGGCACAAGTGTGAAGTAAATCACGAATACAGAATCTCTAGGTAAGAATGATCCATTTGGGAGATTTACTTCCAGTTCATGAATCTGAACCTTTTTAGTGCTCCTTTTGGCACTGCAAAAGGGATTTGTTTCCTGTACTTCCTATGTTCCTAGAGTTCCAGTTTGCTCTTACCACATTTCAGTGCTCAGTTATTTTTAAAGCAATACAAGGCATATTTACCCACTTGGATACTATGGACACCGATCTTGTGCTCTTAAGTCATGAAGTTAGACACTCCGAAATGTCTCTTTAGCAGTTTTGCAAAATGCTCAGTCACTAGCATGGCCTCTTGGCCCTTTTATCCATACTTATGGATATCAAATAGCTCATCTAACTATGTTAGCCTTTTAATGACCTTGGGTTTTGCTTTTCTAAGAACAGAAATCTTAACAACACAGAAGATGCATGGAAGGTCTCCACATATTACAAATAAACAAGCTTCCTAAGCTACCTTTTCATCATGTCTCTTTGTAGCTTCATATCGACAAACAGAATAGCAGCCATCAGCAGAAGCCAGAAAACATCCTTTTCTTTCTTCTTTCTCTACTAAAGGATCAAATATTAGCAGAAAATAAATGATAGTAGGCACAGGTGATTGATTTAAGGGGGAAATATTTTAGATATACAAAGCCCATATTCTGTGTTTCACTTACATTTTATAATCTAAAATGTTTGTAGTTCCTACTAGTCCTATCTAGAAACAGTATTTTGTCATTTACATTTATTTTTGCGCTTAATTCAGTCAAATATTAATGATATCCTCCTTCCTTGTCCTCTTTTAAAGAAAAAGTGAAAGTAAAAATGTTTTTGGTAGAATAAACCAAAATCCTCATAATCACAGTAGTCCAGTATTAGGTGGAAAATACTAGGTATGAAGTTTTTTGTTTTTTTTAAGTAATTACATCTCCTTAATTAGGGCTGGGAATCGGAGATATACTAATTCAACTTTACTATTCCGCAAATGAGGAAATTATGGGCCAGAGTAGTAAAATTATAGTTGGAACCCACGTTCTTTGACTCCTATACCAACATTCTTCTGATACTAAGATTGGCAGATTGTACAGTAATGCAAAAATAGAACAAAAGATTTCCAAAGATAGTTTCAAGCACCTCATATTAGTACATATAGCTATGGATCATGGCTACGAATCACCCCCAAGGTAATAGTTTAAAAGCAGGCTTTGATATATTTTACAAATGTGGGTCTTCCAAACATTGTCCAAATGTCACATCCCAAAGTCTAAAACTGATATTAGCTTTCAATACAGGCACTTCAGTCGAAAAAAGAATTATGACTAAGCAAAGAACTTCCAGTTTTTATTTTTAAACATTTAACAAGAAAAACATTCAATCAATTTTTAAAAATTAGGATGGATTAATTTACAATAAAATAGTCAACTTAAAATATCAGCCCCTTTTATTTAGGGCCAAGGAGGCCAATAGTTTCTGTTTAAACAGCAGAATTGCACAATTGGTATTTTTACCTATATTCGATGGCACAGAAATGTAAAAGTCAAACAATTTCCATTAACATCCTCTCTTCCCTCCAGAGTAGAATTCATATAATTGCTTCTTAGGTCAGTACTCAGGCCTTTAAAAATCACCAGTTATATTTTGAAACATATCTACAACTACTCATAATGAGAACACCTTTAAAACAATCCTTACAGGAAACACCTTAAAAAATAATTTTGTGGCACATTAGACTGCTTAAAGAAACAGCAAAGATGAAAAATAATGTACAAGAATTATAGTCCCTTGCTTATAGAAACCACCTAAATAACATATTTTCCCTAATTAATTATCCTTGCTTCTCATAATTTATTAGCAGAGATGAATTACAAGAAGCAGGATGCACCATTTTTTGGTTCTTGGTTGTAGCTGCCAGCTTGAGAGTTTATGACTGTAAATGTAAAGCAAAATATGACTATGCTCACAAATTCTGGAATGGGAAAAAAACCAAAATATCTCTTTAAAGTGTTTCTCTATCCTTGCTTTCAAGTCAAGACAAAAAATTCACAGCAGTTTAAAGGATGATGAAAGACTAAACATGGGCCCACTAAAATACATACCGGAAATAATTTTATCTATTACACCAAAGTGAAAACTGTAATAAGTATGATATTATATTAGCAAGTAACATTCTAGAGTATGCTGCTGGAGCAAATACAGCACAACAGTTTCATTTACAGATTAGGCATGGTAGCCTTTAGACAGAGCATCTTATTTTCACACTCTTGAAGGTGCAACCTTTAAAACACAAACACACACAAAGCAGTATGTAATTCATAACAGCTGGCCAGGCACTTAACTTGGGGAAAGAGACTCTTCAGATTTTGAGGTAAACTGCAGTTGTTTTCAGCAATTACAAACATATTCTAAAAACAACACTTTATTTCACACCAACTGAAGTCATTCAGCATTTAACTGTAAGTCTGTCACTCTATTGTGCCAAAATTCACACCTACACCTAACTTCTTAAGAAGCTATTAAAAGAACATTTTGAAGTCTGAATCTTGGCCCCATTTATATACTTCTGTGCTTAGAACATACTTGAAAAAAAACGTAAAGTACATCCTTATTAGGGCTAAAATGAGTATCTTTTCCCCTAAATTTGATATTTAAAAAAAGAATCCTACTGTCAGTCACACAGAGCAGAGGAGGTGGTGGAAGACAATGACAAGGACAGAGGTGATAAGGCTCAATCTAGGTTCCACGAGAAGTGGAAACAGAGCAGCCGAGTTTCTGTCTACAGGTGTTGACTATATGTGAAAGCTCTCAAAATTACTGAGGAACACAACTCTCTGGATTTATTCCACTCTGGGCACAGTTGATGTTTCTTCCCCTCTGCAGAATTCATTTCAAGGCAATGTGGAGTTTACTTATAGGAAAATTCATTTTAGAAGATGGAGGACCTCACTAAATATTTACACATCAGAAGACCAGAACAGAAAGTAGCCATTTTGGAACTAGTCTTTTTCACCAAAAGTTTTCCAAGTCTATTTTTCATTAGAATTACCATGAAATTATCTGCAAACAGAAAAGCTCTACCTCCAAATCCTCATAACTAGCAATTAATTCTATTTTCCATTGCCTTCTCAAACAGCAATTTCAATAGAAAGGCTATCCTTGTTTTGAACAAACTCATCAGCTTATTATATCTGGTATGCACAGATTAATTCATCAACATCCTGTTTTGAACCCTTCAAAGAATATTATGAATAGAGATAATTTAAAAATTTTTGATCTGAGGCATCATTTTCAAAATAACGAAAAAAGAATTGGTTTAATTCAGAGTTTCCACATGGCTGAAAAAAGTCTAAAAACTTTATATATAAAAACCTCTAGGTTGACCCTCCTCAAGATGGCAAGTTTTCCAGTCATGCATGGTAAAGGATTTGTGCTAACTGACCTCTTCCTTCCTTACAGGACTAACATTATGCATCTGGCAAAACTACTAGCTGGAGTTATTGGTGCAATAAGCAAACATGGGAGGATTTCTCTCTCTGTGATGCTAATTGGCTTGCTCAAGTTTTGAAACTGTGACCCTGGGCTCTTAGCACCATGCTTTACTCAACTGAAACACCAAGCCGCCACTGTGGTGGGGTGAGGGACAGGGTGGGGTGAGAAAGGGAATGAGGGCAATTATATACATAATTAAAATACCATGATATTCTGTGAAAATTTGTTTTAATACATCTGAGGCTTGAAAATCATTAATCATAGCTATTAAATAAAACTGCATTAAAGTGTTACAATTTTGAACACCTGCAGCAAATGCAGAGCTTTCATATATGACCTAAATTTAAATATGAATGGAAGTTCATTATCAGTAAGCTAGAAGAAACAAATTGCATACATTTTTGTAAGTGGTAACCTACCCCCTGCCCTCCCCCAAAGTAGAGATTAAGTAAAAATTAAGTGAAATTATTCATAATTGTTTCCAGTTTCACCTTTCTCTTGGAAGAGACCCAAATCAGGTCTCTGGAAATCCAACTTCATACACATAAGAAATGGCATCTGCTATCACATCGGTATGTCTTTCCCTTAAAGGTAGACAGGTTATAGGTGTGTCTCAGACATTCATTTCCATGTATTATGGTTTTTGAGACATCTATTCCACTGAAGTATTATAAAGCAAGTCTACAAACCACTTCTAAGAAAAAGGCACTTTGCTGCAAGAGTTAGATTTAATTATGTGAAAGTCAAGAACACTAGGATAGACTCAAAAGTCAGAATTCACTCGTGTATTTATGAATGCAGAGCAGATGCCAATTTATAGAAAATAGCTAATATTACAAACAAACCAAATGTCAACTTAACTATATTCTCAGCAAAACAGTAACTTATGACATTTCTCCAAAAACCAACATAGTTCCAAGTTCAACAGTAAAAAGGGGGGAAAAAAAGGTCACCAGCAGTTGCTACTTTTGAGCTCAAGACCTTGTTTCCTACAGAATTTCATGTCTACAGTTTTGTTCTCTGTTTCAGAGCATGAATTATTTTTCAGATGAAAAACCTGGGATGGCAGAGGTTTGTTTATGTGTGTTGGGGGAGAACTCAGGGTGGAAAAACAGCGGGAAGGAACAAGAGGTTCATTTCTCTGGTCAGACAACCAAGTGAGGAGGTAGTTGTTCGGAGAACTTCTCAAATAGAGAACATTGTACTGATCTACTGAGAGTTGGGGAAGTAGCAGGAGCTTCTTTGTGAGACTGAAGATAGCAACAGGAATACTTCTCCTCCAGGGAAGTCAGGACCAGGGTGTCAGTGCAGCTAAAATGAAGACAGGATTTGTGTAAGTAGCATAGAGAATATAAGAAAAACAAGACTAAGAAATCAACAGGAATGATAATATATTCATTTCCAAACCTGTCCTACCTTGACAGTGGCTCTTTTCTGATGCTAGAACTTTAAAAGTGTCTATAAGAAAAGAACACATACCACATCATTATAATCGGGATTTGATGTAGTGATTCTTCCAACTCCTAATCTGTGCCAAGAATGTGGTAAGGTAGCATACGTTTCATAACACTGTCTAGTGTCCAATATTATTTAATAATGTCTAAGGAACACTTCAATGCCTTAAAAAGTTTAGACTTCAGTACTCTCAGAAAGCATGCCATAAGGAAAATATTTTACAACTGTAAATGAGCAGACACTCTTGGTTAAATAGCAACATAGAAAATGTAACAGCAAATCCTCCAAATCGCCCGATGCTAAATCATAAAATTCATAATTGTGTCAGGAGACCACATGCTCACCTTGTTACATCACCACACATGGTAACCCCATACAACCTTGAGTCCCATCATCACTGCTGTTGAGTTTCTTCATTCGGTACTGACGTATTTCTCTTACCAGTGTGTAAAAGGCATCCTCAACACCCTATAAAATAACATAATAATGAAGGCTTAATAGACACAATCCAAGTTGTAAGCTCTTTCTTTTGTACTTCTTTATGTGGATTTAAAATTCCAATTAGCTAATGAAAATAGGGTGATTTAAGAGGACACCAAATTTAGCATTCTTATTGAATCACATTAAAAGACTAACATACGAATGGCCTATTTTGCAAAAATAACATTTAAGTACAGGGAGATGGGTAACATGGGTCATACTGAACTATCAGATCTAAATAATCGATTCAGGAGAGCAAAAGCCCTAAACACTGGCTGGTGCTGATGGAGAAATGTCTAATATTTCTAAGAGTCTTCATCTTAGTAATATTTAGTAGTATTAGCATGTCAATGAGTAAAATACCACACCAGAATATTCATCAGTTCATTTTGCATTTAAACAGAAGATTAAAAACAAGAATATTGAAAATCCGTAAGAACAAAGACTATGGATCCTATCTCTGTATTAACACTTTTTCTGCATTAAACAAAAACCCACGCCAGATGCTCAAAGCTCTGCTGTACCTGTCTGGTCTTGGCTGAGGTTTCAATGAATGGAATCCCATAACTCTTGGCCAGTTCATGGGCTTGTTTTGTGTCAACTGTCCTTGTTGGCAAATCACACTTGTTTCCTACTAGCACCATAGGTACATCATCTGAATCTTTAACTCGCTTAATCTGTTCCCTTTAAAAAAAAAAAAGGGATTATGTTATCATAACGTAAGAGTAGGTTTTTAGGAAAGCATGAGCAGGTAAAAAAAAAAAGATTCTAATGAATTTTATTTAGCCCTATTATTGTCTAGTATGGAGTTTCACTTTTTTCTCTCACTAATTATAAGGGACCATGCATACTAGGTAGACTGGTTTAGATTTGATGCAGCAGCCATAGGGAAGCCAAGTTCTGGTTCACCTTCTAGTGGAAATGGATGGCTGTTCTTTTTTTTTTTTTTAAGATTTTATTTAAGTGAGAGAGAGAGAGCACAAATGGGGAGGAGGGGCAGAGGGAGCAGCAGACCCTTGGCTGAGCAGGGAGCCTGATGTAGGGCTCAATTCCAGGTCCTGGGATCATGACTTGAGCTGAAGGCAGACGCTTAATCATCTGAGTCATCCAGGCGCCCCTATTCTATTCTTTTTTTGACACACACCCTTGTTAGGCTCCTTGATTCTCCAAAGAGCTTGGCTCTGGATTTAACTGGCAATTTGAAATCACACTCTAGATTAAGATCTGAAGTATAAAAAGTAAAGCTTACTGCCTCAAAATAACTTTTTGAGGTTTTCTTAAGAATGACCATATTTAATCAAAGACAGTCTATCCACTTCTCTAGGTAGGTGGTATCCAAACATTTTCTTCAAACAATATTATAGCTGGAAGTCCAAGATACCAAATAGAAAACACCACAGGTGTTATTAAAGGGTAACTAAAGGATCTGGAACTCCCAATTTACAGCACTCCCTTCAATGACGTATAAGACATACCATACAGCAGTTTGGAAACTTTGCTCTAGATCCTCTTGACCAATACTGTCCAATAGAACTTTTCACGATGATGGAAAGGTTCTATCTGCACTGTCCAACTATATCCACTAGTCATATGTAGCTGCTGGACACTTGAGAAGTCAGTTGCTATATGGTCAAGGAACTGATTTTTCAATTTTATTTAACTTTAATTAATTGAAATAATCACATAAGGTTGTGGCTACCATACCGCACAGTACTGTTCCAGACTCTACCCTTGGATTACAAAGTCATGTGCTGAACCTGCGTTACAATGGCTGTCTGCAGAACTGACCTTTGGTGTAATGGCAGTGGCCTATTGTAAAGCATAATTTAAGACCGCCTAAGAGGGAAAAAGACTTCTAGAAATTCAACAAATATTAGATGTTTGACAAGTGTTGGACACTTGACAAGTGTTGGGACATTTTCTTACATATTATTATTTCCAGAGAGCAAATGAAGAATAGAGCAGGTTTAGGCAGAAAAAAACCTCACTGAAGTAAGTTTTGGACTAGCTTGTTTCCGTGAGCAGACATCATCATACCATACCAACGGAGTACAAGCCAGGGCTGCAGGCTATCAGGAAAACACTTGCATAGCATTTACTATGTGCTAGGCACTTTTCTGGGTGATTAACATGTTTATTAACTTGTAATTTTTACAACTCTTGGCAGGTACTATTCTCTCCATATTATAGATAATGACACTGAGGCACATACATTTGAGAGTTTGCCCCAAAGTCCCATGGGCAACAGATGATGGGGCCAAGTTTCAACCCATTATATTACTCTGCTCAAGGAACATAGAGCTAAGAAAACGGAGCCCTGGGTTTTTGGTCCTGGCTCTGCTACTAGTAACAACTATGACTTTGAAAACCTAACAAACCACTTCCTGCAACTCGTTCAGAATCTGAACAAGGATGTTGTACTAGAATTTTTTATGGTCTGAGTGAGCTTTGAAACTTTATGGTTCTATTGAGAAAGACCATCTTTCCTCTTTATCTACTCCCATCCATTTCTTCCTATCATTTTCTCTTTTCTATGACTGACAACTATTTTTCAGACATGTTTTCCTCTCTGAAATTCCTTTGTGACCTCTTATACCACCACCTTTAGTTCTGAATTATCTCATTAGTAAGCTTAATTTAAGTATTATCACACATTCTAGCTATAGTGTATTATATAAAATAAATTCCAATATTAACTTTCAGTGATAACCCCAGATCCTCAATGTTAAACAATCTGAAACCAACTCTTCTCATGATTAAAAACGCTATATTCCCTAATGCGGTATCCTCATTTCCTGTTCCCCCACAAAGCTTCAGAATACACTTATAGATCATTCTTTCAGAAAAATGTTCCTAGTACCTGTAGAGGTTAATGTCTGCAAATGATTTGCTATTATTGATGGCAAATACACAGAGGAAGCCTTCGCCTGTCCTCATGTATTGGTCTCTCATGGCACTGTACTCTTCTTGACCAGCTGTATCCAGTATATCCAACAGACAGGTTTCACCGTCTATAACCACCTGTTTTCGGTAAGAATCCTGGGGGTGTGGAGGGTAGGAGATGGCAAGGAGAGAGGAAAATTTCATTTTTATTAGAAACCATAGGGAATGCAATGCTATTGCCAAGATTAGATAAGCTCCTAGCTAAGTTCTTTCCATCTCTATTAGGAATTTGTCCCTCAAACTCCTAATATACGATCACAAGAGAACATACTTAATGTCACCCTAGGAAAAAAATCCCCAAATCCTATATGCCTGCAGAAAGGAAAATGTGGCCATTCTGTTCCTGGAAAGAGGAAAAATGTGGTAATTCAGACAGCTCTATTAAAGTTAGACCCGGGATTAGGTTTCACAATGTATTTTACTAAGGTATGAACTGGACTTTTCTTATTTATTATACATTTAAAATTCTAAACATACCTCCACCAATTATACCTGGCCCTGGGCACAGTGTCATTTACATTTATGACTAAATATACAAATACCTTTTATTTTGAACAAGATTATACCACAAAAATCTTTTTCTAATCATGGTGGATTTTTACCTTTGGGAAATATTCCTGAATCAAATTCCTAAAGGTTTCAAATAAGGTATATAATTATAATTCTTAAGAAAAACATGTACAGATCATACATATTTATGTTTCAAGGGTGTTTTGTTTTTTTTTTCTTAAAGATTTTATTTATTCATGAGAGAGAGAGAGAGAGGGAGGGAGGGGCAGAGACACAGGCACAGGGAGAAGCAGGTTCCATGCAGGGACCCCAATGTGGGACTCTATCCTGGGTCTCCAGGATCGCGCCCCGGGCCAAGACAGATGCCAAACTGTTGAGCCACCCAGGGATCCCATGTTTCAAAAGTTTTCAATTTGGCCCTAAGACAAAATTTTTACTTGTATTTTAATAGTTATGTTTTGGGAATTCAATTCAAAGAAAACCTATCACACTTGGTAAAGATCTGGCTCCAGAAACAGAATGGGACTTGGTTTCCCAGTTTACTGATTGGTGTCTGTAACTCAACTTCACTGTTGGACTGTAATACACTTTCAAATTAACATAGAACTCACATTGCCAAAACTGGAAGCACAAAATACGATAAAGTGTATGAGTGTTCCAAGAAAACGAGCAAAATTAAAATGATATAGGTGTGTGTTAGTCAAACTAATGTACAATAACAGAAGTCAGAGAAGTGGTTATTTCCTGGCAAGGTGGGGGTTTACTGACTGGAAAGTGGCATGGGAGAACTCTCTGGGGCACTGGAAATGGTCTATATTTCTGAGTTGTGGCCTTAAAAATTTTGGTTCTTGAGCTATAGCTATGCCATTTGTGTATTTTACTGTATGTATATTACCCTTCAATAAACACAACTCAGAAGAATATTAAAAGGTCCTAACTATTAATGCTAAAGCTAAGCTTAAAATGAAATTTCTGCCAAGGACTAATGATTAATTTTTAATAATTGCCATGATAGCTAGCGTCTATTAAACAGTCAGTGGCAAGGCAGTAGAAAGACCACAGTGTGGATTAACATAAATCTCTAGTCAGACATTTCTAAGCTGAATAAATCTTTTATTTAAAGGACCTAAGATGCCATTTATTCAAGCCAATATATAACATGAACGCACACAAAAAATTATACTGATTTTTCCTCAACATTCTTGTGTGTGTGATAGGCAGGACATGTTTATGGTACTTTAAAAGATGAGGAAAATGAGGCTCAGAGTTTAAGTGATTTGCTCAATATAACAAAATGAAATAAACTACAAACAGGGACTGAAAGAAATCTAGGCAGTGACTCAAAATCTCATGTTCTTTCCACTACAGCCCAGTCTCAGCTGCTTCAACCAGCTAATTAAAATTGAAGAACACCTAGATTTTTGAATCCTTTATCCACATCCTATTACTCAGTCACTCTTACTATGTATGGCCTGTTTCTTTTCAATAGAGCTGTCATGAGTTCAACAATGAATATGCAACAGTTTACTAAACTGCCGATTTTTAAGAAAATCTTTACCAATTAATAAAAATGAGCTCTTCTCCACAAACATGGAAAGCTTCGTTATTGTACTCCTGAATGCAGCACCCCAAATAACTTCTACTTTCTCTCTTGATGATTCCTTTGGCTAAAGGATACGTGTAGGGGGGAACCAAAAGCCAGAGGTAGGGTCAGCACACTACCACCCGGCCTCACCTCTATGGTGGGATCATATTCATCTACAAAGTGGTTCTGGATTAGCTGGATTGTCAGTGCGCTTTTCCCAACACCACCTGCTCCAACCACCACCAGTTTGTACTCAGTCATTTCACACCAGCAAGAACCTGTGGGAAAGCAGCAATTAGGTTTAATGGGCGAGCCACATCTAGAGAACTTCAAAAGCTTTCTATAATCAATAGTAACTAAAACGTTGAGTTTGAAATGTATCGGCTCCATACACGTGAACTTCCACTCGGCTCTCAAGGTGATTCCGGAGCGCAAAAACCCTCGCAGGTTACTGCGGGCCTCAGAACTGTGGTTAGTCGCCTGGCTACCCCCACCCTGCTCTATTTTTCAACAGTCCGTGGGCCCCGCCCTCAGCCTAAGGTAAAGGAACCCCCCCCCCCTTCCTCCACCTCCCGCAAGTCTTCTCAGCTCCGGTGGGGAAGCCTCCAGCCCGGCCCCTCGTCTTCCACCCCCACCAGTCTTCAAAAATCTCCCCATAGGGCTTAAAACGAAGGACCCCCGCCCAAGGGCCTTTGTCTCCGGTCTGCAGACTCCGTTCGATTCCGGGCAACAAGGAGGCGCCCGTATGCTCCAAAGACGAACGCTACACACCACAGAACCTTACCTCAAGCTTCGCCGCCTCCGCTTCCGACGTATTTAGGACCACAACTACGAGAAAGGTTGGAGACCCCGGAACCGCCATGAACAGCCCCCACTAGGGAGCGGCACTTCCGGCCCCGCCCGCTACGTAATCAGTCGGCGCCCCGGGCGCCCGAGTCCCCGCCCCGGCCACGTGGGCCCCCGACCCAGGAGTCACGCGGCGGGCCGCACCCATTCCCGCCCCTCCCACACAGGACGCCTCAAAAATGAAAGCGCTAGGTGCTAGAGTCTCAAAAATCAGTAAAACTTTATTCGCTTCCATTCTTTCGCCATTAACAGAAAACTGGAGAAAGCAAAAATGTTTTGTGTTTACAAAGATAAACGGCCTCTTTACCCAGAGAAGATCAAAACCTCAAATGACAACGGGGAAGATAAAAGCGCCCTCCCCCACATCCCCTGAGCTGCCCTTGTCATCTTAGACAAAGCCTTCAGTCCACTGGCCAGGGGCCCTGGATGTGGCCAATTCAAGATGAGGGCCAAGAAATCAGACCAATCCGTTCCCGTGATATAAAGTCGAACAGAGGCTACACCAAGGGTCAAGTGCCTGTATTTCACAGGACACAGGAACCAGGCGGCTACTTATAAAAAAAACAAGATTCATTTCAGGCACAACTTTTTTATTTTTTTTTGTTTTGTTTTTAAATCAGTAAAAGAAACTGGGTCCTAGAAGCTGCAGTGATCTAAGCAGCAGCAAGTTTGTGCATTCTTTTTTGTTGTTGTTGTTTAAATACGATTAAATTACCACACTGCTGGCACACCTCATTTGCATGAAATTCTGCACCATACATACTAATTATAGTAAAGTTACCCCCCCTCCCCAATCCCAGGAAAAAAGAAACTACTCTGGAAGATAATTTTCACTGAAATCTAACCAAACTTCGTTAAGTGGACTGTGACAAGATTATAAATGATATGAAAAATAACATTTTAACATTTGGCCATCAACTTAAGGAAGGAAATGGTTTGCCTATACAAATTTTTATAATTTTTGTTAATTTTTAATATATTCTACCTTCATATGGTCCTCAGAATTAAAGCATAATGAACAGGAAAGAAAAGGAAAAGAATGCAACTGAGTGCTAAGGCAGAACATCGTGCCAGATAGTAATGAAGGTAGAGTATATGCTAAATACCAAGTGCAGAATTTCATAGGGCCAACAAGATAACAGTCTATATTTTCACTTACACAGGCGAAGTGGATTTTGCAATTACCAGTTGCGTTAAATGCACCAAATAAAGCTCCTAAAATTGATACTATAAGGCGCCACCTTAAGTTTTCCAGGCTGCAACTGTGCATAATTTTTAAAATGGTTTTCTTAAATTTATTTATTTTTTTAAACATAACACGAGGAAGGTGTTAAAACTGGTGTAATAGCTCAATAGAATAAGTATTCCAGATTTTGGGAGGGATGAAGAGGGAGATATTCAGAACCCTTCACCAGAATCCCCCCAACTTGATCATAGTGGATTAATGATGTGCTTTGTGGATGTGGTTAGTCAATGACACCAGCTTGACGGATCTTTCTTTCTGCACCAAATCCCTGTGAAGAAGTAAAACTGTAGTTAATGGCTATACAAGCATTACTTTTAATCATCGTAACCACGACGACCGTTTCTTTCCCAGATGAGGAAATCCATAGTAAGCCCTCCTGATCTATTATGTAAAATCTGAGTATCAGGAAGACCATGAAATGTGCTTTTCACTGTGAACAATTATTGTTAGGGTCTGAACCAATGTGTAGGATGTTTTAACTAGTTTTAAGCATACTGAATACTGAAAAAGAATCCTTAAGTTCCCTGCTTCATTGAATGCTGAGCTATGCCAAAATAGGACCCTGAGTAGCATAATGGTCTATCAGCTACCCCCACCTATCCCAGCACCTTGTATATGTCCCCTCATACCATTGAGTTATCTGGTCCCCTTGGCTGACGAAGAACCATTAGGCGAGGAGCACTGGCATCATCCAGGGTGATGTTCTTCAAGCGATTGACCAACCTATCAGGTCGTGGGGCTGCAACAGCCTTGGGGCCCTCGCTATAATGAAATCAAGAGGCAACAACTCTTGGTGGGAAGAAAGCAAGTACTTGCAGAGGTGTTTTCTCTACCGAAATGACTCAGTTTTAATGAGGGGACCCTTGCCTCATCAAGCCAGCTAGCTAGCAAGACAGGACAGACAAGTTTTGCTTATGTTTTTATTACTAACTCAAGGTTTATTACTATGGAGGAACTGGAAGGATCATTTGGGTGAGGGTCATTCCTGAACTGGTCCACAACTAGAAGAACCAGTTTCACAGACACTATAAAATGAGGTAGTAGATGTGAAAAACCTTAGAGAACAAAAATATGTAGAAATATTTTCAAGAGACTCCCAGCTCCTCTTAGGGTAACATTATGGATTTAAAAACTTTTAAAACAGAAAGTATTACTAAACTATATAGTTAGAATTTTAAGCAGCATATAAATGGTTTAATGGAAGAAAAAGCTACACAGAGTCCTTTAAGAACAAGGACTACATAATCTTACTATATTTAAGTTCTAATACATACAACGTACCCAATTAATGTTTCATTGGGCCACATTTAGAAGACTAAAATTTAGACAATGAAGACTAGAGGTAAAAAAAAAAAAAAAAAAAAAAAAGATACAGGAAACATCAAGAAATAACCAGAAAGTGGCAGGATAATAAAAGCAGTCATGAAAAATGAAGAAGTGTGATAAACCAGAGTTTACAGAAGTTTAGACAGTCAGTCCAGGGAGTTTACCAACCCAACTTACCAGACTCGCCAAACATTACAAGCACTGCACTTGCCAGTGCGCTGATTGAGAATCACTGAGAATTCCACTTCATCTCCAGCCTGTAGCTCAATGCCATCTTGAACTTCTTTCACATGGAAAAAGAGCTTCTTGCTATCTCCTACTTCATAATTAATGAAGCCAAACTGGGGGGAACGGGAGGGAAAAAAAAATTACAGCTAAAAACAGGGACATATTACAAGGCGGAAATGTACTCCACTCTGAATGAAGCACAATGCCTGACCCTAACTAGAAGTGGATTTATAAAACATGGTGTTAATGCCGATGATGCTCCAGTTTAGCTGCTTGTGCTAGAATGTAACAGCATATGCTTCTGAAAAACTTGCAAGGGAAGAAATCTATCTTTGAAATCACTGCAAAAGAAACTCTGAGCTAAAGTAATACACAACATCTTTGTCTTTCTATTCTGAAAAATCTCACTCCAAATTTACTTTCCCTATCATGTAATGTTATCAATAGTACTTGTAACTTTCCTGTTAGCTCATATTGCCACTGTCTTTTCAGATGGTTTTCTTCACATTTTTACAAGCTACCTCAAATCATTGAAAAGGGGTGGAGTAGAAAATAAAAACCAAGTGAATATTGACAGTTCTCCTTTGGATGAAAAAATTTTTAAGTTTTGGGTAACATCTATACTAACTCCTAAAAGAATCAAGTTCAGGTCCAGAGATACTACCACTTACCTGGTCCTTCACACACTCCACTGTGGCTCTACGCAGGGGTGTGATGTTGTAGGCCATAGTCTGTGCATTCTGGCCCAGGACACACAACTGGAACTTGACACTCTCTCCTTTCTGTAGGCAATCCCCTTTGTTGGCCATTCCAACTATGCCAAATGGATAGACCTCACCTTTCATATCCCCTGTAAGGAGAAACAGGCACAAAGTCTAATATTTCACAACAGTTCTAATGCTGATGGTCCTAAGAAATTTATAAAGCTTCAATGAAATACTATCATTAAAACAAGTGAGAACTTGTAATACTACACTTGCTAACAAACAGTTTTAAAATTTATTTTTTTAGTAATCTGTATACCCAACATGGGGCTCAAATTCATGACCCTGAGAGATTAAGAGCTGCATGCTCTTCTGACTGAACTAGTAGCCAGGGACCCCTAATAAACAGTTTTAAACCACAGTTAGGAAATTAAAAATAATAGCACTCACAATCTTATCTAAATATTTGGGCATTTTAAGCAGAACAGGTTGCTAACATGACCCACTGGATTATCTTCTTCTCCAGTTCACAATATGAGCCAACCAGTCCAAAATATTTCTGACCCACACCTAACTGGGCACTAAAGTCAGGCATGGGCAACATCAACGTGGGTGAATTTCTTTGGCATTCTACCTCTTTTCTTTGTCTGTGGCTCCCCCAAACCAACAGGTACTTTTCTCCTAGTTCAGAGCTCAGCACACTTTTTCTTAAAAAAAACAGTAAACACTTTAGGCTTGTAGGTCATCCTATTTCTGTCACAACTACTCAACTTTGCTGTCGTAGCGAGAAAGCAACCAAAGATAATATATAAAAGAATGGCTATGGCTGTTTCTAGAAAACTATTTATAGAAACAAGCCACCGTATTTTTTGTAGCACTCTTCCCTAGGGGCACCTGGGTGGCTCAGTCAGTTAAGTGTTGAACTCTTAATCTCAGCTCAAGTCTGCATCTCAGGGTCTTGAGTTCAAGTTCTGATTGGGCTCCATGCTGGGTGTGGAGCCTACTTAAATTAAATTAAAAAAAAAGTTGGCTGGAAGTCAGCACAGGCTATGAATAAAAACTGTGCCAAAGGTTCAGTAGCTTCTCAGTTCACCTGGATGGTGAAGCCACTGAATCAAAAAAAATTAAGAGGAAAAAACAGGTGGAAGTGGAAGCTTCAGAACTGAAAATGCTTTTAACAATTCTCTTCAGGATTATAGGGTAAGTGAAGGTTTTCTTGCCAAACATACAAGAACCACAAACTTTTAAGGAGATACTTCCAACAGATAAAGTCATGCAGGATTAGAAACACCTGGTCCGATGCAGTGTTAATACTAACTACCATTTATTAAACCCTTACAGATTCATATTTAATCGTTCCAGAATCTTCTTAGATTGAAGATATTATCCTCATTTCAAAAGATGAAGAAACTGAGCTAGGAGAAGTTTAAGTAATCTAAGATTATATAGCTAGGAAGTGGAAAAGCTGGTGTTCAGGTCTAGGCCTACCCTACTTCAAAGACCATGGTCTTATATGGAGCTGTTGTATTCTTGAATAACACCTGTTCTCACCAAAGTGGGAAAG